GAACGGAGGCTTGGGAAGAAAGGAAAACTCGGTGGAGGACCAAAGGACTCCACCGAGAGGCTTAGAATGCCAGTCGATGGGCTCAGCGCGAAGTTGAGAAAGTGAATCGATGCGTTTGAGAAACTTAAGAAAAAGAAGAAGAAAGAAAAAAGGGAAAAGAAGAAGCAAGAACTTTGGGTCCTTAGTAACTTCAGAAAACCGCCCACATCTTCCCACACCCCGGCCTCCTGTCTCGGCCTCTACTCTCAATCCATTCTCGCTATTACTTGTTAGATTTCATTACGAGTTACCCTGATTCAGTAAGGACGTAAATAACGATCAATTTCGGTCTTCTCTGCCACCCTTTTTACTTAGAAACCGCACAGAAGCAAGAGAAAAGGTGCGTGGAAGTGATACTTACAGGATGATGTGGGCGTCAGAACGTGTCAGCCGAATGATGGAAAGAATGATTTAGCAACATTTCATCACTAGAAAAAAAGGCATTGCTGCGCTATTAAAGGAGTGAAAGGATATTAAGAGTTATGTTTAGACGAAGGTTTTTCAATTTCTGGATAAGTTGAAATAGATGCGTGTCATGTTAGTTCAGGAGATGGAGAAATAGCGGTTCAGATGGATTGGACGATGCGTGGGAGTGAGGTTTCGAGAAAGGGATGATTTTATTTGGAATGGTGAAAAGGGAAAAACAGCTCTGCTAAATGTACAAGGATTATGAGATGGCGAAATATTTTTTTGTTGAACTGTATAGAACTCGCTGTCGTTATATATTATATTCGATTTCTATGTTATACTGGAGAATGGTTAATACTCTTGTACCTTGGCTAGGATGCTGGTCTCCCTCCTTCCCTTTCCAGGAATAAGAAATTCGTCAGCGGATGGACTCCACAGTAGACATCCCACCATTTTTTTTTTTTTTTTTTAAGTTAAAGGTTGGCTCCCCCGTGTCTCTTTGTCTCGTACTCAGGAGATCCGGTTTCTGGCGGGTACGGAAATCGGTTGCTGTAGTTCGCGTATTTTCCTATAAAAGTCTTTGATTTTTGTTTTCATGACATTCTTTGATGTTTTTTTTTTCTTTTTTTGTCCGGTCTATTCTTTGATTATACATTTTTCTCCAACGTTGGTTTGAGTGGAAACAGACCTCAACAAAGCGCGTCACAAAGGCTTTGTGTGACTGAGAGCTCTTGTGGAAAATATAAACAAGGCGGTCATTAAGAAAATATTCAAAGCCAAAGGTAGAATCACTTCATTTAATCAAGGGATGAAAGTACATAATACCCACACTATGCTGCGTGCCTGTATCTGCCCGCGTAGAAGAGGTTTTGTATTCGACCAGCATAAAGGGTTTTGTACCGCCTAAGGGCCTTCTGGGAACCACTGCATAAAGTTCAAAGGCGCTTTTCTGTTACGGGATCCAGTGGCTGCCTGTGCCCCTGTGATGGCGGAGAGGGGGGAGGAGGAGGAGGCGAGGGGAGGCAGATCCCCGATAAGCACGAAGCAGGGCAGGCTACGGAGCAGGGAAGGCCTCAGATATGAACTGCCACCGTCATGTGCCGAGTGGGTACCGTGGCTCAGGCCTTGGCAGCGCGATGTTTGCTTGTTTGGAGAGGTGCGGGCGGTGGCAAAACAAGTCTCGTTGGAGGATAAGTGATTGCAAGAAAAAAACAAATAATCGAAGAGAACTGTCGGAAAGAACCCGATATACGAAAGAGATAGATGTCAAAGGAAGCTGCGCAAACATACAAACGAAGCTGCCAGGGAGAGAGACCGCATGGCCAGACGGAATCAGATAAGTGCTTTCGCTTGAGCCGCTGAAAGGAGGTTCTGCAAATAACAATATTCAGACAATATTCACAGGATTATCTTAAGAATGTGCGCATTTGAAAGGGAATGTTGGCATGAGAAGATGCTGAATACGATTCAATGGAGAGCGAGTGGATGCACAGCAAGAACAAGAATAACAACAAAGAGAACAGGGACCTCTGACATCCATAAACAAGATTGGAGACTATGAATACACAAGTCCCTGCCTTGAGGAATCCGAAAAGGACTGGCAAACCTCTTCTTTCTTCCCCCCCTCCTCTCCTCTCTCTCTCTCTCTCTCTCTCTCCTCTCTCTCTCTCTCTCTCTCTCTCTCTCTCTCTCTCTCTCTCTCTTCTCTCTCTCCTCTCTCTCTCTCTCTCTCTCTCTCTCCCTCTTCTCTCTCTCCTCTCTCCCTCTCTCCTCTCTCCCTCCTCCCTCCTCCCTCTCCCTCCCTCTCTCCTCCTCCTCCTCCTCTCCTCCTCTCTCCTCCCCTCCACTCCCCCTCCCATCTCCTTTCTCCTCCTCCTCCTTCTCCCCTTCTCCTCCTCCTCCTTCTTCTTCTTCTTCTTCTTCTTCTTCTTCTTCTTCTTCTTCTTCTTCTTCTTCTTCTTCTTCTTCTTCTTCTTCTTCTCCTTCTTCTTCTTCTTCTTCTTCTCCTCCTCCTCCTCCTCCTCCCTCCTCCTCCTCCTCCTCCTCCTCCTCCTCCTCCTCCTCCTCCTCCTCCTCCTCCTCCTCCTCCTCCTCCTCCACCTCCACCTCTCCACCTCCACCTCCTCACCTCCACCACCTCCACCTCCACCACCTCCACCACCTCCACCTCTCCACCACCTCCACCACTCCACCTCCTCCACCACCACCACCAGCTACTCCTCCTCCCTCTCCTCTCCTCCTCTTTCTCCTCCTCCCCTGCTTGCTCTTCTTTTGCTTCCACCTTTACCTCTGCCTCTATTCCTTTCTCCTTTCCTCTGTCTTTTCTCCTCAATTTTCTCCCCTTCCCAATCTCCCTGCTCATCACTCGTTTACTGTCCGTTCCCAAAATCGACTGTCTGATGATTTCTACGGAATTCGGTATTTAAATGTCTCGTAGAGAGAATTCTCAGAAGGAGAGGGATGTGCACTATCGCCTTCCATATTTCTCAGCAACCTAAGCTCATCCTTCTACTGTATAATGTCTTAGGTCGCCTTCTTTCACATTTTTTTTGACAGTTATAATAACCTTCTACTTCGTACTTCCTTCTTCTCTCTCTCTCTCTCTCTCTCTCTCTCTCTCTCTCTCTCTCTCTCTCTCTCTCTCTCTCTCTCTCTCTCTCTCTCTCTCTCTCTCTCTCTCTCCTCTCCCCTCTTTCTTTCTCCCTTCCCGTAACCTCACCCTCCTTCCTTCCTATCTTCCTTTCATTTTTTCTCCTTCCTTCCTACGTCCTTCCTTCCTTTCTTCCTCTCTCTCTCTACCTCATTCGCCCAATGAATCCTCTCTCCCCCTCTCCCTTTTCCTTTTCCCCCCCCCCCCTGTCCAGCAAGACCCTTTTACAGAAGGCGAGGTTTACTCCACCATCGCCTCCCCCACCTTCCCTTCCTTCCCCATGCCCCCCCTCCTCCCCCCCCCTACTGCCCCCGACTTCCATGAGCTCATGCTTTCACGCCCCCGATGGTTTCGGGCGCCCCCTTCCCCGCTCTCGATGGCGTTCAGATGTCATTTTCCTCGGCGTATCCCCCGAAGTCGGCCGCTCGGGCTCGGGAATTGAGTGCTACGAGGCAGGGCGTTAGGTGCGCGGATGGCCCGGGTGCACCGCCGGCTCCGGGTTTGCTCGCTCGGCTCCGGTGTTGATTGCGCTTTTGCTTCTTCGCTCTCTCTTTTTTTTTTCTAGCGCTTTCTCCCTTTCTATTTGTTTCTCTGTTTCTCCCTATCCCCCCCCCCCTCTCTCTCTCTCTCTCTCTCTCTCTCTCTCTCTCTCTCTCTCTCTCCTCTCTCTCTCTCTCTCTCTCTCTCTCTCCTCTCTCTTCTCTTCTCTCTCTCTCCTCCTCCCCCCCCCCCGTCTTCCTTCTCCCTTTCCCCTTTTCCTCCCCCCCTCCCTCCCTCCAACCCTCCTCCCCACTTGTTGTTCCTTCTACTTTTTCTCGTTTCTCTGCGTCGCTCCGATTTTTTTGTTAGCCTTTCCTTCTTTTCCGCGTCTGTGTCTTATCTCCGAGAGTCTTTGCACGGCCCATTGTTTGTGCTATCTTATCTACTTGCTCGAGACGAAGGACGAGGGCGGTTGAGTCGCGGGATTTCGTGTAATGTTTTCGGCGAAGGGAGGGAGTGCGTTACAGCTGTTAGAGTCAGTGAATTTATAACATATATATATATATATATATATTATATATATATATATATATATATATATATATATATATATATATGCATATATACACACATACACACACACACACACGCACACACACACACACGCACACAGCACACACACACACACACACACACACCACACACACACACACACACACACAACACACACACACACACACACACACACACACACACACACACACACACACACACACACACATACATATATATATATATATATATATATATATATATATATATATATGTATATATATAGTGTATGTGTATGTAGATTTATTCATATATATATACATACTTACAAGCATGCATATACGTAAATATGAATCCTGATTCTTGTTTAATTATTTTTTTCTCAACTTACAGGTATTTTTGAGTTTTTTTGCGTGTAGCATAATTCCAAATTGGATTTCGATAATGCTCCCTCCTGATTTATCCACTGTATCTTTCTTTTTTGCTTATAAAAAGTTTAGTAACTATGTTTTGCATACAATATCCTTTCCCAAATACTAAATTAATTTCTCGAACCGACCCTTTTGTCTGTATAAGGGTACGAACATAATAAGAGTATTCCCTTAGCAGCACCGTAGGTATCAATCCTCAACATTGGTAATATAATTCCACTTTATAAATCAGCTTCAGTAAATGTATTCCGTGCGCATTCGATTATTCCATCCATCTGTTAAGGCCAACCATTGTTTGTCGAAATGAACTCTCCGCATTCAGTGTCACAGCGAGTGCTTATCCTCTCGCTTCCTGGGTCTGACACGGCTGTTGTTCACCCGGATGTTCTCTCATTGTTCTCCGCGGCGCAGGAACTAATCATATTCCTTTGCTTTTGCAGACTGGCCGTCGGGAGCTCCCTGTCACAGCAGCTATGGTTATTGTGTAATG